ACACACACACACACACATATATATATATATATATATATATATATATATATATATATATATATATATAATTTAGAAAATCATTTTATTTTCCATTTTTTATTTCTTTTTGTGTGTAGTATGCCCGTGAGTGTTCTAACTTTTTTGTGGAAAAGAAAAAAAAATGACTATTTAACATTTTTTTATAATAGATTGCATCTGTAATTTATATTTAGTGTCAAGGAGATGAGAAATACAATATAATATATCATTCAACTTATTTTTAAATTTTCTAAATTTTATTTGTTCCATGTTTTGTGGTAAAAATAAACAGTGCAAGAACAATAGTATGTATCATTGTATATAATATATTCAAGTTGGTTTAGTGTATAAATAATACTAATGGAAAACAAATGCAATATTTCTTACTTTTTAGGCAAAAAATGGGATTCCCCGATCCCATTCCCAATTCCCGAAATATTTAAGGATACCGATACACCGGGATTTAATAGTATGGGACGGGATTGGGATTTCAAATTTCTACCCCGAATCCCGAAATCTCAATCCTGAAAATCCCAAATTCCAGAAATCCCGTCCCGAACTCAACCCTAGTTTTTTTTATACAATTCCAGAAATAGAATATTTGACTATATAAATATTACTTAATTTATTGGTGAAATTGTGTTTGTCATTTTTACTAGGTTTCATAAAAGTAGCCCAAACTGAAAATTAAGAACTGAATCCCTAGTAATTAGTAAAGCAATGTAATGGAGCTAGGGCTGGGCATTTGGGATCGGGATCGGGATTCGGAATCCCGTCCCGTTCTGATCAGAATTTTACTATTTGGGACTAAAACTTCGAGAATTCAGAATTGCGGGATTCGTGATCGGGATGAGGAACAAATACAAGATCGGGATTTGGAAATTGGTTCAATCGTTCTAACTTTTGTGTGGGAAAGAAAAAAAAATAGTTGTTTAACATTTTTTTTATGGTAGATTCCATTTGTAATTTTTATATAGTGTCAAGGAGATGAGAAATACAACATAATATATCGTTTCAACTTATTTTTAAGTTTTATTTCTTCCAAGTTTTGTTGTAAAAATAAATAGTACAACAAAAATAGTATGTATAATTGTATATAATATATTTAAATCAAAGTTGATTTAGTGTATAAAATAATACTAATGGAAAACAAATGCAATATTTCTTACTTTTTAGGCAAAATAAGTGATTTCCCGATCCCAATCCCGAATTCCCGAAATATTTAAGGATACCGATATAACGGGATTTAATAGTATGGGACGGGATTGAAATTTAAAATTTATTCTCCGAATCCCGAA